CATCTAGAGTGAGATGATCGTTAAGTTGTATGTTAAGTTTTGTAAAATTTAAATACTGGCTCGTATGGTATTCTCCTTCAGTTATAAGCAATGTATTTCATAAAATTTAGCTCATCGTGGACACGTTGATCTGTTGAGTAAAAGAATATCTGGAGTTTATAAGCTATAAGTCGAAAATGAATCGAGACTTGGAATAAAACAGCGAGTTTCGAAATAAATTACTTAATTTTTGTGTCTCCTAAACCATTGTAGAAATCATGATGCAAATCATTAATTATATAAAATATAAGGAATATATGTATGCATGTGTTAACAAAAATGCAATGCAAAATGAATATAGAAATTGATGTAGTGCCAACATTTTTTGTAGTGCCTATGAACGCTTTACAGAAAGCTTCCTTTTCCATAAAATACTATTAAAAGTAATACCTAACAGAAAAAATATTAAAATAATGTATACCACATTTTCCATTCAAATTTGAAATGATGCGCTTAATACACTTGCTGAAAAAAAGGAAACTCCAAATTATGAAACTGTATCAAAAATAATAATAATAATTATTATTATTATTATTATTATTCTGGAATTTTCTTTTGTATTAGTAATTCTAGAATTTTATTTTCATGTCATAGCTCTCATGTGATTCTCTGCGCCCACATATCGGTTTGTAGTGGTGTGATGTAATGAGAATACGGCAAAATACACTAGGGCTATCTGCTTAAGGAGACGGATGTCTTCGTGGAGGACTTTCTAAGGAAACTGACTCGTATGCACGTTACACATGCGGAAAACCACGAAAACGCCCATGCAACCAGCCCGTTTGCGGGATTCGGACCTCGGACCGAACTACCAGTGCTCAGCGACTTTACCGCTCGGGCGCTGGTGGGCCATATCCGTTTGTATGCATTACTATTTCAATAAATCAATGTTTATGAGGTCTTTCACCCCATTATTTCACTATATGAAAGGCAGACTTACTTAATTCGCATAAGTTATATAGCGAATAGCGATTGAGTCGCAATATTTTTTCTTAAATTCTCTCTATCGCTGAAGCGGAATAAATATAAATGTAAAGTAATATCTGTGTCTGTTTGCAGAGCTTAGTTAAGTTCGTGATGAAAACTAGCCGAGAACCTTAAGTAATATTTAGATAAATCGTAATTTACCATATAAAAGATTAGAGAAAGCCCCAGATTGCAGTTTGTTTGTTACTTTAGAACTGGAACTTAAATGTAATTTTTCCTTTCCATGGTAACCACGGTATCCCCGACTGCGAAAGATTCTTGAATCCCGTAACCTCTTTTCCCCTTCGTATACGAGTACATTTTAGCAGGTTTCGCTTCTTGAAAAGCACACGAGTGAACTGCATCTATACAACAATGAACTGAGGGCTACTTGGCCTTCGACTTTTAAGATTTAAAGTTTTTGAAGAAGTTCTTCAGTAAGAAAAAATGAATTTCAAAAGTTATAAACTAACAAGTAGCACACTTTAAAATAAAAGAAAAAAAAAACAATCTTGATTTAGCTTAGATTTAGGAAGGAATCTCCATGGATTTCGAAAGACATCTGTCACAGATCTCATTTCTCCAGGAACACTTGTTTTCTCCTAAAGAAGATAAACCTTTTTCTGATCAAAAGAGTTTTTTTTAATAAATCTTCGCTAGACTAATGTCATATTTTGCCTAGTTTTAAATTTTATTTTGATATTTTTCTCTTCCAGTTTAACAGCAGCACTTCCACAATATGCACCTATACGAGAGAAGTATTGAAATTCATATACATTGCAAATATTTACAATTGTTTTCTGTATGGAACGCCTATCACATCATAAGATATTCCCATAGAAGCATTTTGATTGTTGTCTGGAAGGACCATTGTAACTCTAAAATATCTCGCTGTAGGGAAGGCAGATGTATAAATTATTTGATATAACTCTATCGATTAAAGAATAAGGAGAAGAATTTGGAAATCAACTGCATGACGACATACCGGTCGACTGTAAAATATACTGGTGATCAGTTGTAAGTCCCTGATAACAGAACACGGAATCCAGAATCCAGAAACTCCGGCAAGAATCCAGAAACGAAACAATAGTTGTTTATTTAGTTTCGCAGCAAATTTTGAAGTTTCCTCATCAATCGATAACTTCCACTTCCCCCTTTCTCTCCTCTTTGCTCCTACAGATGGGACAGATGTTAAACGTATGTTTATTCTTACTGAAATAACTGCGTAACGTTGACGTGTTTCAGGTTCAGCCAACGTAAATTCAAAATGTTAATTCTAATTCTTTTTTCTTAAATAAAAAAATGCTTTTCGTTTCTAAATAATTAAAAATAATTTATTTATAAATAAATAATTACTTTTCATAGGTTATTAAAATATTAACGGAATTTGCCTTAATATCTGATTTTGATTTGAGTAATATCTTTAACATGGCTTTCAGTCTGAGATTTTCAATGTGTTTATTTCTTCAGGGATTTCGATAACCATTGTTAAGTATACAATTTAGTAATATATTTTCTTAAAAACGTTGTGTGTCGAAGTAATAACTAAGCTAATCGCGTAATAAAAATATGAATATCTAAGGCTTTTAATACAAAAAGCTATTAAAAGTAAGAGTTGTTTCTAATTTACTTTATATTCAAATACCACATCAAAATCAAACATATCACAAACGAGGAATTTTATTGTGTATGAGAAATAAATAATTACGACACTTGTGCAATTAACCTACAGTTAATATATTTCGACATTTTCTCGACAAGCGTCCACAAATAGTGGCATGCATAATTAAATCAGAGACTTTCAATGCTAAATTCACTGCGCTAGAGAAAATATTGAATTTCCGATACGAAAATCTTCACCTCGGCAATGGGATTTGCAACTTCATACGAAGATATTGAATTTCCAATACCAAGCATGACAGTGTTGACTGCTCGTTACCATTATTTCGCATGAGCTCTTCCTTTTATAAGAATGTGTTTATTAAGATCGATCTAACGAGACAAATTTCTGATAAAGCAAATGCTGGTATTCTTTATTTCTTCCTCATCCTCATTTTCTGCGCATTTAGAGCTATAATTCGTTTGTTTATACCACCTGGAAAAAATTAATTACATTAATTGAAAACCCTGTTTTCAAATACAGTATTTTTTTAAATGCGAAAAAAAGAAAAACTATCATAAAAATTCGTTATTTTGACATTTTAGTAAATAACCGATAAAATTAAGCCGGTACACTTAAAGTTTCAAATGAAAAGTACAGTTGATGTGAAATAATGTCAGGTATTTGAATATGTCACGAAGATTTAAACAGGAAATAACCAAAACGGTAAATAAATGAATTTCCTAATAGATAATTTATATGTATTTTAATAATTGCACGAACACATGGCAATTTCAATCAGGCTAGGTATTGGGAATTTATGTTTTTTTCTTATTTGACGCAGACTTGAATAAAAATATCACGAAGATCTGGTATTTAGCCCAATCAATATATTGCTTCAGTCCTCAACAGCCTGACAGCAGGATACATCTTTAATTTACGATGCAGATGCGTGGAATACGCTACATAATATCAAGTAGCTCCAAGGCCACAAGTGCTGCTTACAGCAGTGTTAAATCCACAGAGGTAACAATAATACATCGATAGCACAACCAATACATGTTAAGTGGACGTCCTACAAGCTTAGCTAAAGCGTTTCTACATCCTACAGTTTTACGCAAGTTGAAGGTAAGATTTAAAGTACTGACGGATAATTGATTAATCAACCCAAAGAATAATCTTTGCAAGATTACGTTATTTGAACATCGCAAAACACACAAGGGATAACTGTCGTTTGGAAGGGATGCTTTCGTAGAAGAATTTCTAAAACAATCTGGCTAGTATTCACGTTACGCAGGAGAAATTCCATAAAAGTCAACCATGCAGTCGGATGGGCAAGGTTTCGAATCCAGAAGAAGGTAAGGATGTTGATAAGTGTATACTGCAGCAAGGGGACAATCAATATAACGTTACGCTGAAGTTTTGTCGAGAGTCTCTTTGTAAAGAAAAAGTTGTGGGAGACCCTCTGACCGCTCCCATTGTGGTCTTCTTCAAACTAGGTGTGTAACTGCACAGTTTGTGTGGGGGGAGACCTGATTGTACATTGATGAATTTTTCTTTTAACGCTTGCTTCTGCCTGTGCCTCGTACAGTGGGACGCTGTCCTGATTAGTATAGCGGTTAACAACGCTGGTTGTCATGTTGGGTGGGAGCGGGTTCGAATCCTGCAGAGGGCATAATACTTGTAAGCTTGCAGTGCCTGTACAGCATGGAGGCACTTAAAATATTTACGAGTGCAGTTTCCTTTCACATCGTTTGGGGAAAAAGATGTGAAATCTTTTGAATCCGTTCCCCATGGTAGTCTCTATCAAAACTGAAACCGAGCTGCACAGATCATGCGATATTATACCTGTCTAAACCAATGATGAAAATCTGCTTGTAGTTCCAAGTACATTCCAACTATATACCAACTACATTACAACTTGTATTTCGAACTACATTCTGCTTGTAGTTGGTAGACGATGCTTAAGAAAGAATTTGTGTGGATTTGTGAAAGTGTGTGGATTTGTGAAAGACTTTGTGTGGATTTGTGAAAGAATTTGTGGAAGTGTGATGATCTAAGACACTGGCATGTCATGGAGAATTAGAACAGAAATTCATTCTGCGGCATTTCATTTCTGGGAAATAAAGAGGAAGTAACCTAAATATAGTCAATATCCGAATATGTTTGGGAGTACTTCTATTCATGGGTGAAGCGGATTCCAAATCCAACATCTCTGCTCCTGGGCGAAAAAGGGGAGGGAAATCAACTAATACGGTAATTCGTCCGCAAGAAAGAATAGCCAAAAAAGATAAACATTTCTGTTTAATACTCGCAACTGTGCTTAATTTGCTGGTCACTTAACATGTGCTTACTTCTAATAGTTCCATAACTTTCAGATTAAATTTAGCACCTGCTAAGCTTGGTTATTTTGAAGTTTCTGCTCACAGCAGTTATTTTCTTCATTACAGAGACAATTCGTTTTCTTCTCAAACGTTATATAAGGAGTCGATTTTGTCTTTTTAGCGTCTGATACAGAAGAGGCAGTTTCGCAGCTGGAATTTTCACTTACAGATGAATTCAGGTTTGTAACTTCAGGACTTACATCATTATCTGTGTTTTTCAGCTCTTCACTTTCATTTAAACTTGAATCTAAAGGCAAGTTTACTGCAACAGCGGTGTCAGCCGCCAGTTGTGTGTGGAACCTCTGTAGTATGCGGTCATGAGGAGATGTTGCAACAAGCATCTTTGAATAAACATATGTTTTTCGCACAGGTGTTGTTCCTGTAGGAACATCTTTAACTAAGTCTTCTGCAATGAATTTCTCAAATTCAAGATCTCTTTTAAATATTTCATTTTTAAGTTTTGCTGCTGCTTCATTAATAGCCTTTTCAGACTCATTAACAGTATTTGTTGATTTCAGAGTAACGGTCTGCAATACTTCACTGCGTTTTTGAAGTAGAGAGCTATCATTTCTGACTTTATTTAGCAAAGATGTTTCAATATCTTTAAATATGTCTCCTGCTGTTTGCTGATTGTGAGAAACAAAAGATGAATGATTTCCAAATGCAGTTTTAATGTCTGTAAAATTTTCCTCTTCTGCCTTTGTATTTTGCTCCAAAAGATTGCAAACAGAAGAATTTATATTCTGTCCACTTTCAAATATGCTTTCATTTCTTGTAACAAACTCTTTTACATTTATTGTACCTAATATATAATCTAAAATAGCCTTCTCTTTTTCAGTTTCTTCTGATGAGGGTATTAACATTTCCATAGGCCTTTCAATGTCTTTTAAGACTTCTATATTATCCTTTATTTTAAAACAAGTTCCTTCGAGCTCAAAAATACATTTATTCAATTCTTTTTGACATTTGCTGTAAGTCTGAAGGGATGACATGATTTCTTGCAGTTCATTCAATTTCTTTGAGAACTCCTCTTGCAGATTAGTTTGAGTAGTCGAAATAGATTGTGTCTGCTGCTGGAATTCTTTAAGCAACTGCTCATGATGCTCATAAAATGTCTTCAGATTTTTCTTTATATTATTCAAAAGTCTTTTTTTTTTTCTTCAGCTTTAAAAATAAGTGCACTTTTCTGTTTTTCTATCTTTTGATGTATATTATAGTAGGCATTTTGAAAGCAGTCTCTCATTTCAGTGTTAACTGCATTTAATTGATTGAGCAATATTGGGAATTCCTCATATAAAAACATGTGTTTATCAGATATATTTGAATCCTTTTTACATTTTAATTTTTCAAGCAAGCAATCACCCCACTGAATATCATTTGCTGCTTCAGCTTTCATGTGCGATGATAGATTACTCATATTAATCTTATGATAATCAAGCAAATCAGTTAAACATTTAACTGATTGTTGCTGATACTCATGAAAACCATGTATAGCAGTATCTAAATCCTCTTTAATACTTTGAAGATTTTCAATTTGTTCCTTTTCAGCATTTGAAACCATATCTTCCAATTTAGCAAACTGTTTTTGATACATCATTCTAAAATCTTGACATCGTTCTTCATTAGTTTTTTCCACCATTTGTTTTCGCTCAAATTTAGCATGAAGTCCACTCACATCATTAGTTGTCTGATCTTCAACTTGTAATAACAGTTGTGCTTGTTGTGATAGCTTCTTTTCAGTAATTTTTTGAATGCCAATTAAATACTGATTTTCATCTCTCTGTAGCGTTGTTTCACTAAGGACCTTTCGTGTATAGTTTAATGCGTCAGTCTTGCTAGAAAGTTCGGTAGCAGTTTTTTCGTACATTTTATGAGTTTTATCCAGTTTTACACACGTCTTGTAAGGTTCATCTTTTGTTGAAGTAAATAATTCTTCAATCTTTGTATTTTCTTCCGTCAACTCCTCAATCTTTTCAGTAAGTTCTCTGATAAGTTCTTTCTTAACCTCAATTTCATTAATCATATTTGTATGGTTATCTAAGTCAATGTAAAAACCTTCTTTGCTTCTTAAGGCAACAAGGTCTTTTCTCAGTCGTTCAATTTCTTCAGTGTATTTACGAATAAGAGCTCTTTTTGTCATTTTTTGGTTCACTTCAGGCTTTATTGTTATAGTCTTTGCCTTTGTAGCATAGTCCAAAGTGCTTATTGTTTCATCAATATTACATGATGCAGGAGATATAGTAGCAATGATAGATGTTTTTGTATGCCCACCAAGAGAGTCTTGAAGTAGTCTAGTTAACTTACTTTCCCTATAAGGTACATGTGGCTGTTTCTCAGTCAAAGCAGTTATCACTCTACCTAAGGTCAAAAGGCTCTGGTTTATGTTACTAGCCTCTCTAGCTCTTTTGTCAACAGCTCCAGAACGTCCAACATTTTCACTTCCGGCAAGGTCAACCAAATTTAACTTTCCAGTTTTTAAAAGTTCTCCTTCAATAGTATTTTCTTTTATATGCACAGTTATTGAAAAAACAGTATGACTACGGCTAGACGTAGCATTTAACATGGTTGCAGCTGTTTGTCTGCGAGATGTGCGTTTTTCTAAAATAGCATATACTTCATCTCTGCTATTCACCATGATTTCTTCTAAACCTTGAATAATTACAGAACCCTTACGGTTAGAATCCTCAAATAAGCGCAATCTGGACAATTCAGTTGAACTGAGCAAATCAAATAACTCTTCATTATATACTTCAAGGAATGACACACGAACAGAAAATTCTACATTTTCTTCTTTATTTAATTCTTCAAACAACTGATGCAAAGAACGGGGAATAATTCCTGCTCCTGAGTCATCTTCCCAAGAACATGTTGTACTGTTTCTTTCACCTTCCATTGTATAGGTTTTTCCTCTTCCTGTTTGACCATACGCAAAAACAGTACAATTATAACCCATCAGAACTTCCTGAATCAGTGGTCCAACAACAGCTTTGTCCACAGATATTTGTTTTGTATCAGGAGGAAATACCTTGTCAAAAAAGAATTCTCTAGTTGAATTTCTGTCCTTTACTACAATTTCTTTTTTTTTTTTTTTTTTCTGGTATAACTTCCACCACTGATGTACAGAACTGTTTACGTCTTTTTAGCGTAACGTTATAGTTTCTTCTTTCCGTATTAATTGTTTTAGTTTTTCTTCTCTCCCGAATATGGCAAGGAAATCCAAGGGAAAGGAGGGCAAGGAAATCTCTCTCCCGGATATGGCAAGGAAATCTCCTTCTTGAAGCGTTGCTTGCTACTGAACCGGTTTTGTAACAATTTTCGGAGCAGAATCTCTGTCGACTTGATTCATTCCTATTCTGTTAGGTTAGTTGTTATAGTTAGTACCTCTTATATGTTCTTTGTTGTTCGTTGCACCTGCATATATGTACTTTGTGTAAATATTTTGATATTTTTTCACTGTAGTTTGACTTTCCTGTATTTTATAGCGTTTTGTATTGTGTTTCTTTACTTATTCTTTTATTTTGAACATTTTATGTAGTAACTTAAGAATGAATTTTTATTTAATTAAATTTTTTGCTACTTGTGATTGTAAGTGTTCATTTCATATTTTTATTTTAGATAATGTAATTCTAAATCTATCAACATTTAAATTAGGAAAACATAATAATTAAAAGCCGAAATAAAGAAGTAAACTCTCCAGATGAACCTTGATGATGCTTGAAGACTTCTTGAGAACGTCGCGACTTTCTGGAAATTTACGGAAAACACATCATTAAAACAAACAACAAATGATTTTTCGTGAAGCTTGAGGATGCCTGTGCTATAGTGTATATATGGCTCGATTTGTTATGTGACAATGTGTTAATAGAATTACGTCGGTAATAACTGTTTTAATATTTACACTGTAAATGTTATCAGCAGTCCTCGATATTCTTCTTGCGTGAAGAAGGATTTTTCTTATCTGTGTTATTCCCCTTGATGTATTTACAGCTTCATACTTTGTCAATAATTATTACGAAATAGGTAAAGGATTTGCGTCACTATTTGTTGGATAACTCTCGTGCTGGATCCCATGGAAAGAGTTAACGGACGAGTTGGAAAGAAAGGTTTTAAAAAATTATAATGCGAAATATGCCCCCATTCTTTGGCTTAGATCATATTTTTAAAATATCTCGACACATAACTAAAAATTACAAAAAGACAGGAATTTTCATGTACAGAGCAGATGCACCTTTCTTTCGTAGCGTTTTATGATACGCATTGATTTACCAATACTGATCATTGCATCTATGGGTACATTGGATTTCCAGATCTCTGTATAGCAGAATGCTCCTTATCGAAACTTATTAAATTTCCTGCAGATAATGCCATTTGTTTCAAAAATTCCTTATTAAATGAAGATATCTTGTTTTCAAAATTTGTAAATTAACGACTCTAATTTCTGCAATTCAGGAAAGGTATTTGCCACTTCACTTAAATAGTAACCCAGTAAAAATGTATAACATATTAAATAATGTGAGCATTGCAAACATTGTGTAAGACAAAAAAACTAGTTTTGGGGTGTTTAGAGTAAATCAAGCTATTAAATGAACGATCAAATTAAGTAAAGTTGAAGATCAAAACGTTTATTAAATAAGTAAATCTAAAATATGGAGTTACATAACTACAGATGGCAGGACTAAAATTTAGTACCGAAGAGATCTACACACACATGCACGCGCGTGTGCAGAAAAAGAAAAAAAAAACACTGTTTACTTCTTAGAAAATTTAAATAAACCAGTGGGAAGTAGGCCTATTTCCCAATTCAAAAGACATACCAAAATTACTACAGTTGCCTTTTCTGTAAAATACACCACATTAATATCTAGTGTAAACTATAGAGGCGGAGGCATAATACAAGAATTTATAAAATTAATTTCTTCACTAATCCATTATAGTAATTAGAATAAACAGAAGTAGTGTTCCCTATGATGGCATTTAAAACAGGATGTCACCGGAATGAGTTAAGTTAGAACAAGATTCATGTTGAGAGATGTTCTGTATTCAAATAATAACTCGGTCACTACAAATCAGAATCAACATCACACATTTTCAAACAGTGAACTTTCATTAAGCAAATATCTCCCTATTGTTGGTATACAAAATAAATAAAAAAAAATATTAACAGGATGAACCAGGAGTCAATTGAGTTGATTTCATTTTTCCTTTCCCCTCGATATATGTGTCTAAAGCCGGATGTCTCCTGGTCACAATCTTCAAGATTTCCATCAATGTTCCAATAAAAAGAAATTTGTAAAAACTAAAAGTGCTTAGTGAGGAAATGCAGGACAGAAATTTTATTGAAACAAACCCTTCCTTCTAGTGGATCTTCTGGTTAGTTGTTCTCACCTTCTTACTATGGCGGCTATCATCACGTCTTTCTGCGACTCGAGGCATGTAATTTTCGGACGAGGTCTCAGCTTCGAATCTCCCGCCGATGCTATTCTTCTCACAGCGAATATTCTAGCACTTGGCTAGGACACTGGGAGAAGGAACGCCAAGTACCAACACCTATTATAGCGCCTCTTCGATATAACGTTGACGTTAAGCTTCAGGAAGTTGGCACATCTCTCCCTTTCCTTCTATCACTGCACACGAAGGACAATCCAGGTAAATAACCCGACCCTCTGTTCTCGAAACAACAACCGAATTCCGCTGCCCTCTTCCTCAGTTCCACATTAACAGGGATACATGCAGAAAAACACCAATTTCGTCCATAATGAGAAAGCGTTAAGCATAATTGCAGACAAACTGTTAGCCTCGCATCGAGGTCCAAAAAATCAACTCCGGCATATGGTATTCAAATCATAAAGGATCTACAGATAAAGACAAGATTACAGATGATTTTATAGCATAGATTAGAAAATAATTTTAAACAATTCTAAGTACTGAATTCAATGCTATTACATGCAGATTTATTGCATTACAAATCATTGAAATTTAGTTTTAAACAAATTCCAACTAGTGAATTCAGTTCTATGGCACAGAGTTTCACTTCGTTACAAATTGTAGAGAAATTAATACCTGAGTCAGAAATGGAGATTCAATAACTTCACTGGAAAGAAAGGTAAAAATTAAACAGAATTAAATTAGCAAAGCTATTGCGTTTAAACTTCAACCTAGTGTAACTAAACAAAAATTAATCATTAGTTACTTTAAATGTCATCCAAACAAACCACCAATAAAACCAAACAAAACTAAATTAAGTTTTTCAAAGGTTAAAAAGGAAATTAAAGAAGTTAAAATAAATACAGCTTTTAAGTTAAAAATATTAACAATACCAAAATTAAGTAACACAATTACAGCTCTTTAAATAACCACTTTAACAAAACTAATCAATTACTAAAATCAATAATAATCAAAATAGGTAACAATTACACACCAATTCTTTAAAGTTTCATTATTTTATTTACAAACTCACACACAGAAGCTTTATTTTGTAAGCATAATGTGTAAAGGCTTATTTAAAAAATTATGATTGTATTATTTGAATGATCTATTTTATGATTGTTTGAAAAAATTTTAGTCCATGAAATCCATGAAATGTGGACGTTCTGAACTTTTTTTTTTTTTAAATGAAATTTCATTTTAGTTTTAGTTTCTTATTTTTTCTTCATGTAAGTATATTTCAAACTATAAAGTTTTAAGTTTATATTGTAATGTAAAAAATGTATTAATTTGGTTATTTAAAATTAAATAACCAAATTAATATATAATTATATAAATTTAAAATTAAATAAACCAAATTAATATATAATATATATAAAATTTAAATTAAATAACCAAATTAATATATAATATAATAAATTATATATAATATATAATAAAATTATTTAAATTATTTATATTTAAAATTAAAACAAATCTAATTAATGATGAATATGGGATTATACCTGTTAACCAGTGGTAGAAATCAGGTGTCCCCGTTTAATGCAAACTGAAACGATTTGTTGTTTATTTCAATAAAATTTTAATTTATTCTATCTAATATGTCATAGTTATTCAGTGAAATTTCCATTAACCTGAAGTTCACGACTCAGTTGCTTGCTAAAGTAAATGTGTGAAAGCTTACTTCACAGATAATATTTACTTTCATTTGCAAAATTAGTGCAGTTGTTAAAAGCTTTCCAAATACCATGCATCTTGTGCACTAAGGGATTATCGTTTGCTTTGGTGAACAACACCGCTGTAATTTTTCATTCATTTTAAATAAAGAAATCGGAAATATATCATTTTTATGCAAATTCGGAAGCGTACATATCCTAAAGACTTGATATCGTCGTACATAAAACATTAAGTAAAAAATAGTTGTTTTTACTGACTTTTTTATGCTTAATGTTTTGCGCATTAATATGTTGATCTAAAGCATAGTAAACATTGAGGATATTATTTGCATATTTTATCTATGCCACCATTTATTATAGAAAAAAAATTCTTTTCATGTGTTTTGCAGTAATAGAAAAATATTTCGAATTATTCAACATTTGAAAAATCTCCATTATTGTTTTGCTTATTTTTTGCTTTGGCTTTATTATATTTGCTTTCAAACACCTTGAAAGATTATTTTTTCCTAAAAGTAAAGATCATCTGCATTTATTTCAACTCGACTTTATTCTTACGTAAGCATCATTTGATATGCAAATGGATCATCTCCTTTCATGAAGGTTGAAAATATTCTAGAAACTATAGTTCTTTATTTACTTTGAAATCTGGAGAATATATTCTTTAATTCAAGCACTATGATAGGTTTTGTATGAAATATGTATTCTTTAATTTCAAATGAGAAGAGAGAAAATATTGAATTGGAATACTAACTTTTGATGCTAGCATTTATAAGCAAAGTTCGTGCATACTTAAATACCGTACAGAAAAATACGTAAATGTAAGAAATATACTTATATTTGACATATTTGACTTTACAAATTTTAAACTGGAGTGCTATATCTGTATTTTACTTTCTCTAATCTTACTTACTAACTCTATTTTACTTCCAAGAAGGACTAAACGCATTTGATATGATGAGCGGAATTTGAGGACGGACAGTTAAGAGAACATTTTCATAATTTTATTGTTATG